TCCCTGACCACTCTGGGCAAGGTCATCTCTGCCCTGGCCGAGGCGGTGAGTCCGGGGGTCACCCCTCTACCTGCACCCACCCTCGGGGATCCCCCGCTTCTTTTTTATTTTTTTTTTTTGGGGGGAGCCCTCACGACCGTCCTCTTTCCTTTTCCCCTTTCCCCAACAGACCAGCAAGAAGAAGAAGCCGGATTTCATCCCGTACCGGGACTCGGTGCTGACATGGCTGCTGAAGGAGAACCTGGGTGGGTTTGGGGACGAGTGGGGGGAGCACGAGGAGATTTTTCGGGGCTCCCGGCCCCCACTGACGGCGTCCCCATCAGGCGGGAACTCGCGCACGGCCATGATCGCGGCGCTCAGCCCGGCCGACAGCAACTACGAGGAGACGCTGAGCACCCTGCGGTGAGCGGGGGGGCCCTGGGGGGGGGTCCTCGGTGGGTTTTGGGGTGTGGGGATGGGGGGGAGCCCAGCCCTGATCCTGCCCCTTTTCTCCCCCTGACCCCCAGCTACGCCGACCGCACGAAGCAGATCCGGTGCCACGCCGTGATCAACGAGGACCCGAACGCGCGGCTGATCCGGGAGCTGCGGGAGGAGGTGACGCGGCTGCGGGAGCTGCTCAGTGCCCAGGGTGAGGGGCTGGGCGGGATTTGGGCTCTGGGGGTCAGATTTGGAGGATTTTGTAAGGGGGGACGGATTCGCAGAGGGGTTTTGGGGGGGAGAAGAGATTTGGGGGCAAGGGGGGGCTTAGGGGGCACAGCTGCGGTGCTGGGGGGACAGTGAGGGGTTGATATGGGGGTGCAGGAGGCAACGCCCCCCACACCGAGCCCCCATCTCCCCCCAGGTCTCCCCGACACCACCCTCTCTACCCCCCCTGCCGCAACATCCCCCACCCTCAATGGGGATTCGGGGCTGGAGCCCCCCCTGGGCCCTACTGAGGCCATGGAGCGACTGCAGGTGACCCTAAAACACCTTCCGGCCCCTCCCCTGATCCACAGGGACCCGGGGGGGTCTGTGACCCCCTCCCCCAAACTGCAGGGGACCCCCCACAATCGTTGCTCTCTCGCAGGAGACGGAGAAAATCATTGCAGAGCTCAACGAGACGTGGGAGGAGAAGCTGAGACGGACGGAAGCTCTGAGGCTGGAGAGGTGAGGGGGCCCCAAACCCCCACCACGGCCCCCAAAAACCTTCCCCAACCCCCGCAAATAACCTGAACCCCCCCATAGCCCCACCGTGGTCAACCCTAATGCTCCTTACGAACCCCCCCAGTGCCCCCATAGCTCCCCAAACCCCACCACAACATTTCCTAAACTCCCCCAGACCCACTCCAAAGCCCTCTGGGCCGCCCCAGGCCCTCTCATTGCCCCCATATTCGCTGTCCCTCCCCCAGGGAAGCGCTTCTGGCCGAGATGGGGGTGGCTCTGCGGGAGGACGGCGGCACCGTTGGCGTATTCTCTCCAAAAAAGGCAAGTCAGTGGGGGCTGGGGGGGCCCCACCATGAGGGACACCCCCCCCAAACCCTGACTCTGGTTTTATTTTTGTGCCCCTCTTCCCACAAAAGACCCCGCACCTGGTGAACCTCAACGAGGACCCGCTGATGTCCGAGTGCCTCCTGTACCACATCAAGGACGGTGTGACCAGGTGAGTGTTGGGGGGGGGGGCAGGGCTGTGGCACCCCCAAACCCCCTCAGGGCCCCCTCCAGGCCTCTTGGGCTCTCCCCCCCAACTTGCCCTGTGCCCCCTTCTCCCAGGGTGGGCCAGGTGGATGTGGACATCAAGCTGTCAGGGCCGTTCATCCGGGAGCAGCACTGCCTCTTCCGCAGCCGCCCCGACCCCTCGGGGGAAGGTATGCAGCTCGGGGGGCAGGGGCGCCAGATTTTGGGGTGCCCCCCACTTTCCCAGCCCCCTCCTGGCACGCCTTAACTCCTCTTTCTCCCCCCTTCCCCAAAATGCTGTCACTGGAGCAGGTCACCATGGCCCTCCCAGGTACCGCTCGCCCCCCGTGCCGGCAGGACAGGGAGGGTGGTGGGGCTGGGGGGAGATTTGGGGCAGCTGGGGATGGGATTTGGGGGTTGCCCCGCCTCAGTTTAGCAGGGAGGTGACTCGCCTCCCGTCGTTGTTCCCTCCTGAAGTTGTGGTGACCCTGGAGCCGTGTGAGGGGGCTGAGACCTACGTCAACGGGAAGCAGGTGACGGAGCCGGTGGTGCTCAAGTCGGGTAGGGACCCCCAAACCCCCCCCCCAGATCCCTGTGGCTCTCCCTTGAACCCTCTCAAAAATCTCAGCGTGCCCCCTAAATCCCCCTCCACCTCCCACAAATCCTGCGTGGCCCCCAAATTCTCTCTCGAATCCGTTATGACACTCTCGAACCCCCAATTCCCACCGAAATCTCCCCAAAAACTCCCTGCGACCCTGCCTCAAATCCCGCCGTGACCCCTCCGACCCCCCCCAAACCAGGCCACCGCCTCATTTTGGGGAAGAACCACGTGTTCCGCTTCACGCACCCGGAGCAGGCGCGGCGGGAGCGGGAACGGGGGGCGTCCCCCGGGCCCCCCCCGGACTGGAACCTGGCGCAGCGGGAGCTGCTGGAGCAGCAGGGCATCGACATGCGCCTCCAGAGGTGGGGACACTGTCTGGGGACGCTCGGGGTCCGCCCCAGGGATAGTTTGGGGGGGCTCACTCTGTGTGGGTGTGTGTGTGTGTGTGTCCCAACCCAGGCTCCAGGACCTGGAGAACCAGCCCCAGCTGGAGAAGGAAATGTCTGAGCAGCCACAGGTGAGGGGGCCCTGGGGATCATTTGGGAATTCTGGGCGTCCAACAGGTGTCCCATAGATAGTCCCTGAGTGTCCCAGGTGACCTCCGGCTCCTCTGGATGTAGTTGGGTGGCCCCTGGGTCCCCTCCTTGTCCCGGATGTGTCTCGGGGGTCTTCTGGGGATCTCTCGGGGATGTTCTGGGTGTCCCTCGGGGCTCCCACGTCCCTCAGCGCGTCCCCCGTGTCCCCGCAGCCCCCCGCCGCTGACGACCCCCCGTGCTACGAGGCCGGCTGGCGCCTGATCTCGTCCCTGCGCCAGGCGCTGCCGGCGCCCGCCGTGCGCTCGGTGCTGCGCCGGGCCGGGCTCCCGCTGCCGGCACCGGGCAAGCGCCGGGAGCCGCTGCGCGTTTACCAGATCCCGCAGCGCCGCCGGGGCTCGCCGACCCCGTCCTCCCCGTCCTCCGCGTCGCCCTGGGTGACCATGGCCGACCTGAAGGCTCAGGCCGTGCGGGAGCTGAGCCTCGAGGTGGCCCTGCGGGAGCCGCGGCCGGCGCGGCGGGAGCTGGAGGCGCTGAGCCTGGCGCGGCTGCGGGACCTGTGCCGGCGCCACGGCAAGCGCGAGCCCACCGAGCGCGACGGCTGGCGAGCGGTGGCCAGGGACGTGTGGGACGCCGTGGGCGGCGGCGAGGAGGACGAGGGGGGCGGTGGCCCCGGCGGCGAGCAGGTGAGCGAGGTGGAGGGGCTGCGGCTGCACCTGGACAGGCTGGCGGGGATCCTGCGGGAGGTGAAGCGGCAGAACAGCGCCAAGGACGAGCAGATCCGGGCCCTTCGCGACCGAGTGGGGCAGATGGAGCGCGTCATCCCGCTGCCGCCGGTGAGGGGGACCCCGGGCACCCCAGAGCCTGACCCACAGCGCCCCAAAGAGCCCCTGAGCGGTCGCCGCCGCACCCCCCAACCCCCTCACACAGACCCCAGCTGCCCCACACAGCGCCCTGACGCCACAAATCCCCCCCCATTCCCATCCGCTGACACCCCCAAATGCCCCTTCCCCCCCACAACCCCCTCTCTCTGCCCCCCCAGACTCCTCTAACCCCCCCTCTCCTCCCCTCCATCAGGACGATGGTGACGAGGCTGAGCCGCCCCCCCGAGAACCTTCCCAGGAACGCCCCCCGGACGTCCCCCAGCCCAGCACGGACGGGGGCTCTCCGCCCCCTTCGCCCCCGTCGGCGGCGGCGGCGCGGCTGTGCCGGCTGATGGAGCAGGACCCGGCGTTCCGGCGGGGGCGGCTGCGCTGGCTGCGCCAGGAGCAGGCCCGGCTCATGGCGGGGGGCGGCCCGCAGACCCCCCAGGGCCCCCGCCGAGCCCCGCGCTTCCACCCGGCCCCCCAGGACTCCAAGCTGCGATTCCCCTTCAAGAGCAACCCCCAGCACCGCCTGGCTTGGGGGGCCGGGGGGGATTCCCCCCAAGCCGAAAACAGCCCCCCCCCGCCGCCCCCTCCCTCGGGGCGGCCCCGCCGGGGATCCCTGGACGGGGGGTCTCCTCCCCCCGCCGCCGGCACGCCCCCGTTCCGTGTCCGCCGCCAGCGCTCGGCTCCCGACCTGAAGGCGCGGGGCCCCATCCCGTAGCGGGTGTGGGATTTTGGGGACACGCCCCCCCCCCCAAAATGGACAATCACGGCCTCTCCCCTCCCCACAATCGGGGGCTCTCCCCGCCGGGGAGGCCCCCAGCTGCTGTCACACTGCCCCGCCCTCCCCGCGTGTGTGTGTCTGTGGGAGGGGCCCTCGGTCGGGAGAAGTCCCCTTCTAACAGGGGAGCCCTTAATTAATGGCGATCCTGCTAATTAAAATGAAGCGCCTCATTTCTTGGGGGGGGGGGGGCCCCCTCCCCCAATCTGGTGCCTCCTCTCTGCTGGCCCCGCCCACTCCAGCCTGGCAGCTCCTGGCCACGCCCCCTCGGGGGGCGGAACCGAGCGGTGTCTCCGCCCATGTTTCCAGACCACGCCCCTTTCTGAGGCGGCGCTGGTTGGCTCCGCCCCTCTCCATTTATGGGCGAGTTGTGGGCGTGGTAATTGAGAAAGTCCCGCCCCCTTCGCGGGCAATGCGGAGCTGGGTCGTGCGTCCCGCCCCCTTTGGGGCGTGTCGCGGCCAGGCCACGCCCCTTCCCGTTCATTGCCGCCCCCCCCATCCCTCCCCGTACCCCCGGTCCCCCCCCGGCCCCGTTCCGGCCCCGTTCGCCCCGGCCCGGCCGCGCCATGAGCCGCCTCGGGCCGCCGCCGCTGCCGCTTCTGCTGCTCGGGGCGCTGGGTGCTCTGAGCTCAACCCCGGCCGCGGGGCAGGACCCGGCCCCGAGCCCCCAGCCCAGCGCCCGGCCCAATGCCAGCAGGTAACGGCACCCCCGGGACCGCACGGGACCCCCCCGGGACAGGACAGGACACGGAACCCCCGGGACGGGACCTCCCCCAGAACGTGGCACCCCGGGACGGGACCGACACCCCCGCAGACAGGGCTTGGCCCGAGGCGGGGCATTCCCAGGACGGGACACCCTCGTCCAGGACCCCCTCCCGGTCCCGGACACCCCCCTGGGCACCGGAACCTTCTTGCTCCTCGGTCCGGAGCCCCAACCACGGGCTAGGAGTCTCCCTCAGACCCGGGATTGCCCCAAGACTCCCCGGAACCAGGATCCCGCACATCCCGGGACCCCTGTCCGCGGATCTGGGATCCCCCCGAGCTTGGGTTTTCCCCCGTTCCGGGTCCCCCGTGACCACCCCCTCACCCGTGTCCCCCCAGGCCGGTGTTCCCGGTATTCCCGTGCGGGGGGGACCATCGAGGGGAGTCGGGGTTCATCGCCAGCGAGGGCTTCCCCCGGCATTACCCCCCCGGCAGCAACTGCACCTGGACCATCACGGTACGGACCCCCCCGGGGCACCCCGAAACCCAGGGACGCCCCCCAACCTTCCCCCGTTAACCCCAACCCATCCAGGGACATCCCAACCCTCCCCGGGGCGCCCCAGAACGCTGGGGCTCCCCCTTGGCCGTCCCAGCTCTTCCCCCCCCTCGTGTCCCCAGGTGTCCCCGTGTCCCGCAGGGGACTGAGGGACAGGTGGTGACGCTGCTCTGTGTCTCCCACGTGTCCCCCCGATGTCACTTTGTGCCGCCCCCACCCAGAAACCCGAGGGCCAAGTGGTGTCCCCAATGTCCCCAGAGTTCCTGATGTCCCCTAATGTCCACCCTGGCCCTTCAACGTCCCCATGTCCCCCCCGGGTCCATGAAGACCAGGTGGCGGCACCCCAAACTGCCATCTGAGGGCCAGGTGGTCTCACCCCAAATTCCCCGCGTCCTCCCCCGCGAGGACCAGGGGGTGACACCCCAATGTCCCCAAAATCCCCATCGCCACCAAGGGCCGGGTGGTGACCCCCGCGATGTCCCCTAGGTCCCCGAGGGCCAGGTGGCCACCCTGTCCTTCCGCGTCTTCGACCTGGAGCCGGACCCCCTGTGCCGCTTCGATGCCCTCTCGGTGTTCGGGGGCCACGGCCCCGGGGCGCCGCTTTTGGGGCGCTTCTGCGGCACCTTCCGCCCGGGGGCCCTGCGGGCGCCCCAAAACCGGCTCCGGCTGCACATGGAGAGCGACGGCGGCACGGCCGGGAGGGGATTCCTGGCCTGGTTCAGCGCTGGCAGCCCCCCAAGCAACGGTGGGTGAGACAGGGGGCTGGGGGGAGACCCCCCCCCAAAAAAAAAAAAAAAAAAAATGAACGAAGAAAGGGGAGGGAGCACCGCCGGCGGGGAGCAGGGACAATCCCACGGGGACACCCCCAAAACCACCCAAAGAGATCCCTGGAGAACTCCAAATTCCTGCAGCAGCATCCCCAAAGTCTTGTGGAGACCCCAAACTCCCAAGGAGACCCCCGAGGGACCAAAATCCCTTCCAGGAAATCTTGGGGGTCCTGGAGTGAGAGGGGAAAAGAGGGAAAAGCTGCAGGGGGAGAGGGAACTGTGGATTTGGGAAAAGTGTGAGGAGAAAACAGTGAGAATGAGGAGAAAGCGTGAATGGAAAAGGAGGGAAAGGTGTGAAAACAGAAGGGAAAAACCCCGATGGGGAAATGGGGGGAAAATGTGAGGGGGGAAAAAAAAAAAAAAGAGAGGGAAATGAAAGAAACGTGTGAGGAAGAGATGGAAAAGGGTGGAGAGGAAATGGAGGGAAAGTGTGAGGAGAAAACAGGGAAACGAGGGAAAAGTACAAGGGAAGAAAGGAGGGAAAAGCTGAGGAGAAAAGGAGGGGAAAGTGTGAAAGGAAAACGAGAAGAAAAAGAGGAAAAGAAAAAATGAGGGGGGAAAACCGAAAAGAAAAAGAATTAAAAAAAAAAACTGAGGGAAAAATGAGTGAAAAAAAAGGAAAAGTTCGAGGGAAAAGCCAAAGGAAAAAATAGGGCAAAGTGTCAGGAAAAAATGAAGGAAACGATGGCACAAAATGGAGGGAAAAGCTGAGGGGGAAAGAGGGACAGGGAGCACTGCCAGTGGAGAGCAGGAGACCCCCAAAACCACCCGGACCCCCACGGACGCCCCCTAAATCCGTATGGAGAACCCCCAAAACCAGGTGGAACATCCCAAACGCCCCCAATCCACCGTGGAGCCCCCCAAAAATCCCTTGAAAAACTCCATAGAGACCCCAAAACTCCCCACGGAGACCCCCGAAACCACCCGGACCCCCCCCCAAGACCCCCGCAGGCCCCCCCCAATCCAGCCCAACCCTTTTGCAGGACCCCCCCAGGGACGGCGGCGTTCGGGGGTCTTTAATAAACCCCATTTTTTCGGGGAGTCCTGGCACTATTTTGATGGTGAGTACGACCCCCCCCCCCCCCCCCCC